CTACTACTACTACTACTACTACTACTACTACTACTACTACTGCCTACTGCTCAGTGCTATGTACTGCTACTACTGCTACTCTACTATGCTACTACTACACCTACCTTCCTAACTACATACCTCCTACTATACTTCTACTACTACTACTACTACTTACTATCTATATACTACTACTGACTACTATACTACTACTACTACTTTACTGCCTACGCTATGATACTACTACTACTACTACTACTACTACTACTACTACTACTACTACTACTACTACTACCACCACTATCACCACCACGATTCATACTATTATTACTATTCCTCCCTCTTCCGCCTCCTCATTTTGTTTCCTCTGTTGTCTCCTCGTCCACATTCCTTTTCCTCCTGTCCTCCTCCTGATCCACTTTCCCCCCTCGGTCTGCAGAGTGATATGGGTAAACGTTGACAGTCCACAACCATAGCATGCACGGTCATGGACAAGGGCATTCCCTCCTCCTCCTCCTCCTCCTCCTCATCCTCTTCCTCCTCCTCCTCAGCTTCATATTCCTCTTTCTCATATTTACCCTCTTCATCCTCCTCCTCCTCCTCGTCCTCCTCCTTCTCCTCCTTTTCCTTTGGGGCACCGCTCCAAAGGCCACCGGCTGGCACGTTTGCTTACGCGCGAATATAAGTAATCAGGTAGAAAACCGAACGACGAGAAGGGGAAACGATATAAGCATTGCCTCCACGGAGGGGGGGGGGATAGGCTGGGGACGGCAACTGGTTGGACAACTATGGCGCGTGTGATGGTCCGTAGGGCCCATGGTAAAGGGGTGTCTTCCATACGGGCCCCCTGGACTCTGGGTGCGAGTGCCCTGGGGGCGCCCTGAGGGCCCCGCTCGATCGAGGCGCCCTCACTTTGCAGAGGAAGAGGAGGGGGGCGCTGCGATTGGCCCTCGCTTTGCACATGAAGGGGGGGGCAGCGTTGGGCTGTGCAAGCTAGAGAGAGCGCGCAGCAGCCACGCGCAGGGGAGCGACGCTGGGCAAAGTGACCCCTGGCGCGTGGTTTTCGAGGGGCCGTGCGTGTGCGTGCATGTGCGGCGCGCCCTGTCTCCCCAATTAGTGCTTTGAGCGGCCCGCCTAGCTCTTAACCCGAAGAGGCTCGCTCTCGACCCGCAGACCAAAAAGTGTGTGTGCGGGGGGGGGGGGGGGGGGGCAGATCCAGGCTCGCAGGCAAGTGTCGGGGCCCCCCTGTGGGCCCTGGATGAAACGGGAGTAAGCGGGCTCGGGGAGTCTCGCCGCATCGCCGACGCATCGCCGGTGTACAGTTTGACGTCGAGGCGACCACACAACTCGGACTCTGGGTCGCGCCGTATCGCCGATTCGTCGGAGATGCGGCGCGACCCTCCGACCCCATAATCTGCTCTGGATTGCAGGGCCTGAGTGGACTTCCCAATTCCAACGAAAAGCAGAATAGCCATAACGTTCGGCGATCTGCGCGGACTTCTTGGATCAGCGCTAGGCCGCGTGCCCGCTCGGCGCGCCAGGGAGGGACCCCAGCGCCGAGCCAAGAGATCCGCGCGGAGCTCTGAAAGTGTATGTGTTTATGCTGCCTGCTTCTCTGGGGATCTGGGGAACCTGGGAGATCGTATGCTCGCTTCTCTGGAGAATCTGTGCGTGTGCTAAGATCTGGGGAATATGCTGCAGCTGCTTATTCATGTTTGGAAACATGAAGGGGCCCTGGGACACACAAATAAATACACACAAATGAAAAGATTCCCCATATTTCCCATATGTTCTGGGGCTTTGTCTTCCCCCCAAATCCCCATAGTTCCCCATATTTTCTTGGAAACCAGCGATGAAGTGTGTCTGTGTGTTTCTCTCCTCCTGAAAAAGCCGGGTCGTATGCTCGCTTCTCTGCAGAATCTGCACGTGTGCTCGCTTCTCTGGAGAATCTGCACGTGTGCTAAGATCTGGGGGATGTGCTGAAGCTGCTTGCTCATGTTTGAAAAAACCAGGTAGCCCGCCCCCCTCCTGATCCCCACGTCGGAGCCCTCGTACACCCCCAGGCCAGACTTGAGGAAGCCGCCCTTGCTCCGGCGGCCCGCCTGGCGCGCGCGGGCGCTGAGGCAGAGGAGGGGGGGGCGACGGGGGAGGCGGGGGGCCGGACGCGCTCGCTGTGGGGGCCCTCCTGCGTCGATGCGGCATCGGCCGTCCGTCGGCCGGAATCAAACGGGAGGCGAGCCAGGGTCGAGCCAGAGTCGAACTGGAGCCGAACAGCCCCGTCGGGCGGAGCGCGAGGAGACCCGCACAACACACCTATAAGGACGGGGAGGAGGAAATGTTGGCTCGAACTACAGGGCTGATGGTCAGCGCCACGGGACTGCCTCGACTGTGAGGTTGGACCGCTCTTGGGCGCAGCCGGGCCTTTGCAGATCATGTTGACCTGGCAGATATGGTTCGGCACCTGACACTCCACAGCTATATCTCGAAAGAGGTTGTGACAAACGATGGACTCTGGAATCTGGTCTCAGGGGTCAAAAGCGTCCACTTGGCACTAGCATGAGACCCTTGAGAAAACGATGGAAACGAGCGCCTGTGGCTGCTGGGGCGACTGATGTCACAGGCCTACCCAGAACTCATGCCAGCTTATGCTGGCGCGGGAGGAGGAGGAGGAGGAGGAGGAGGAGGAGGAAGAGGAGGAGGAGGAGGAGGAGGAAAAGAAAAGAGGAGAAGGGAGGAGGAAGGAGGAGGAGGAGGAGGAGGCTTTGCCTGCCTGGACTGCCTGGTCCTCTCCACTGACTGCGTGACAGCAGAGAAAACGATGAAAGAAACAGCACCAACCCCAAGGCCTACCCTGAGCGACAAGGGTCGACTCAAGAGCCCTTGAGGCTAACTGGAAATGTAGCTGAGAAAGTTTCGCTCCAGCTAGATCCCCTGGAGAGCCTCCTCCTCCTCCTCCCTCCCTCCTCCTCCTCCACCTCCTCCTCCTCCGCCTCCTTCCTCTCCTCCTCTCCTCCTCCTCCTCCTCTTCTCCTCCTCCTTCTCCTCCTCCTCGTGCTCCTCCTCCTCCTCCACCACCTCCTCCTCCTCCTCGTGCTCCTCCTCCTCTGCTCCTCCTCCTCCTCCTTCCTCCTCCTCCTCTCCTCCTCCTCTCATTCCCCTCCTGTCCTCCTCCTCCTCCTCTCCTCCTCCTCTCCTCCTCCTCCTCCTCCTCCTCCTCCCTCCTCTCCTCCTCCTCCCCTCCTGGCCTTCCTCCTCCTCGTCTTCCTCCTCCTCATCCTCCTCCACCTCCTCCTCCTCCTCCTCCGCCTCCGCCTCCTCCTCCTCTTCATATTATTATTTTCATAAGTTGTATTATGATTACGGCTATTATTATTCATACTAGTGTTCTTATTATCATTAGTAGTATTAACCTTATTATCATTATGTGTTAGTATTATTAGTATTAGTATTATTATTATATTATATTTAGTAGTATTAGTATTATGATTATGATTATGATTATGAGTATTAATAGTACCCGTATTATTGGTATTGGTAGTATTAATATTACCCGTGTTAGTATTCGTATTATGAGTGTTATTAGTATTGGTATTCTTCTTAGTATTATTATTAATATTCGTAGTATGATTCGTATTCGCTGTATTATTCTTATTGGTATGATTCGTTTCTTCTTAATAACAGCAGTATTAGTTTTAATCGTATTGTTGTTCGTCGTCTTCTTCTTAGTATTCTTCTTCGTAACATTATTATTATTCGACTTAGTATTATTATTATTCTCAGTTTGATTCGTACTACTATTACTTTTTCGTCTTCGTCTTCTTATTATTATTGTTCATCATAGTATTATTCTTAGTATTGATATTACTATTCTTCCTCCTCCTCCTCCTCCTCCTCCTCCTCGCCACAATTCGAGTAGGATCTCGAGGGGGATCTCGAGGAGATTCTCGAGGAGGAGGAGGAGGAGGAGAAGAAGC